ATTTATTGTTGCAATTTTAAAGCTTTCCATGTTTGTTCTTTTTTCCTTGTATATATTAGTATTATTTTTGTTATTTTCTTGTTATATCTTCATATTTTATTTATAGTTGTTGTAGTATGGTTTCTTTTCTATTGTCCTTGCGGCTGCTGTTTTCTTTTTACAACTGCTGCTTGACTATTCTTCAACAGTTCTGTTAACATTCTTCCCATGTGTTCAATCTGTTTCTCTATTTTATTCTGTCTTTCTGCCACTTCTTTGTTGATTGCTTTGTATGCTGTCAAAGGAATTTCTTCCTTCTCAGTGTTCATTTCTTCGGTGTCTTGGTATTGAGATTATTGTTTCTCTAATCTTTTCTTTGTATATTCTACTTGTTCCCTGCCTTCTCTTTTGATTATTGATCTGAATCTGCTTCTCTTTCTCATTATTTCTGCAAATGATATAGGTGCTTCTCTCTTTGGTCCCTTTTTGAATGTCGACTAAATTGATACAAATTTTGTCTATGCGATGGATTTGTCTCTTTGGATCTTTATCTCCTTATATTGGAAGGCGATATGTCTACTCTACCTGCATTTATAGCAAAATCTTTCATACTGGTCCACAAAACTGATTGTTGTTTTGTCTAACTTGAAAGTTTGTTTTTTCTTTGCTTTTGGCTAGTCCTCTGTTTCAAATGCTATGTATACAAATCTCTCCCTGAAGTATTTGCCTGTTCTTGGGATATACAGGGTTTTTTTATCCATTTCTCTTACTATTTTCTTTAGGTCATATGCTGTGGTGTCTGCCGGCAATCCTACTAGTTTAAGTACATATTTGGATCTTTTCATGAGCTCCTCTTTTTCTTTCCATTTTGAAATATTCTCAAATATTCTTTTTCAAATGGGATCGACCACATTTCAGCCAATAGTTGCGCATTTTTTTTTCTTTAAAAGTCACAGTTGTGGTTTGCCACATTTTTACTGGTTTAATTACTACAGTTTAGATATCCCCAAACTTTCTTAAAGTTGCTCTGACTGCCTCCTCGTTTGCTGAAAGAGGAATGTTTCTGACTATTACTGTAAGTTTCTCTTCTAATTGGTGTTTCCTTTGTTCCACCAAAGTTAGGTGTTCTCTATTTTCGTCTGTACCAAAGTTAATTTCACATGCCTGTTGCATGTCAATGAAATTTCCAAAATTGGCAATGATTGCTTTCTTTTTTCCTGCCACTTCTCTTTCCACTTTTACCTCCAAGAAAAAATCAAAAGTGATGCATACTTCCTTTACAATTTCTAATGCTTTTGCTGATTCTGTGCTTGTTGCGAGCTCCATTGAACATGTGTGTCTTGGTTTTCTTTTCACTTTTCTTGGCTGTCCCTCAGTCTTTTCCCCTTTATCTTTTCTTTATATGTTCCCTTCTTCTTTGCTCTGATATCGGGACCATTCGTATTCTTGCTGTTCTCTTCTGTTGCTGTGGTTTCCTCTTCGATTTCCATTCCCTATTTTTCTGCTGTCTCTTGTTCTTCCTCACTTGCTTCATTTTTTTCTTCTTCTATTTCTTTGTTTTTCCTTTCCCTGTGTCCATGCTTGTTGCTCGTACTGATATCTTTTTTCTTTTTTTCTTACCCAAGCTTTTCAGTCTTCCTGATCCTTTCTTGACAATAATAGTAATCACTCCTCTTGCTTCTCTCACTGCATTTATTGTTTTTCTCTTTATACCTCTTTCTCTTCCCATATTTGTTGTTGCTGCTTGCCTGACTTTCATTTTTCTTTTCACTTTCTCACTGCTTTTTTCAATTTCCTAAACAGGCAATTTTAACTGTGTGGGAAAGAGTGTTATATTATATATATTTCTAAACAATTAAATTTAATATTAAATAAATTTGAAATATTTTTAAAAAATAAAAATACTTCAGTACTTGTTAATATTTTAGATTAGTGAAAAGTAAGTAATAGTTTTATTTATTTATTTTTTTTAATTACAAACAAGCATCCAATACAAAAGTAAGTAATGATTTTAAATTATATTTATAAAACCATTTATTTTTAATTATTTTTAATTTAGTTATATTCCAAAAAAATTTTTTACTTAGTAATAATAATACAAGATTATTTAGCAATTCCGACAATATGTATTTTTGCTAAAAGAATTTTTTCAAGTATAAGTAATTTAATTACTCAAAATAGGGCACAATTAGCTGTCAATATAATTTATACTATTATGTGTTTGAAATATTGATATACTGTAGTTTAGATATATATAAATAAAATTTATTAATAAATCTAATGTAATTAGTTGTTCAAATATTTTTCAATATACAGTATATATAAAGCAATGAAAATTAACAAAATAAATAAAATATTAACAATCATATATTATTGTTTTAATAATATAAATAGAAATCACAACAAATTAAATTAGTTTAAATTTAATTAAATTCAATTTGATTTGTTTTTTAGATATATAATTTATATTTGAATCAGATATAATATAACTTGGTTTGATTTGATTTGAAACTAATTCAGATCTAATTTTATTTGATTCAATTTATATCTGATTTATTTCATTTGTCAATATATATATTGTAATTTATTTTAATTATAATTATTTTTATATATTTCAATTGAAACATGTTTTCTTTAATTTAATTAAGAGATTATTGATCTATAAATATATGTATTGTAGTATTGCAGATTTTGAATTATTAAAGTTATTTTTATTTTTATTTTTTTCTTTAAATCAGACTGCAAGTCTTGGTGTTTATTAATATGAGTCTTAATTAACAAATATAATATAAGATAATATTATACTAAAGCTAAACTATGTGATCTTGCAGAACACCTATTAATAGCCAGTATGATTGTGAGGAAATGAAAAAGTTGCTCAATTTTGAAGGATGCTTCTTGTCTTTCTCAATTTCATAGCCAGCCTTCATTTCAAGACTGTTATTTCTACACAACTACTGTGATCCTATAGAGATAAAAAAACTTTTTTTTTTTATAGAAATAAGAAGAAAAAAGGGAAATATTAAAAGTGAAAAGTTTGTATTGGCAAATAAAAACTCTTTGAAGTCAATTTCAAGTCCGACCATTTATAGCTGGATACCCATTCAATTTCTACCATTTTATTATTAACCAAGAATATTTAAAGGCACTTCCAGAAGAGTAATTTTTGAAACTTTATGCTCGAAGACTTCTAATCTTTAGAGAGGGTTGATATATTATTTGACAATTTCTTTTCCAGCCGGTTATATAAGGAATTACAGCTTTATTCAATTAGTGAATAGTTTCAAGACCCCTTTCTCCAACCATTTTCAAGATAATCAGTAACAAAAGAAGCTTATTACTGTGCCTGGGATAAGACCTTTTTTCAACCTTAAAAAGAAACAAAACCAATACAAGAGGGAGATAGAGAGAGCTTCAAACTTCTTTTTTACAAAGCAGATGCCTCATCACCTTGCTCTTTCCGTTAGAACCAATCACATCATCAGATTTGATGTTGTACAATATGGAATACGTGAAAGTTATGTGTCTTGTTTACTTTTTTTGTTACGTGTAGATCAACCAGTCCTAAATTTGAGCCAATCATCATTCAAGAATTCTGGTGTAACCAAAAATTCAGGGTCAAACTGAGGTAGGCAAAATTCTCCAGAAAAATCAGAAAAAAGTTTACACGCTTGAAAAGATAGAAGGAAACTTGAGGAAGATAAGAGAAAAGTTCCAAAAACTGTGTCAGTCTTTTCTAAAGTCTTGAATCTCTGGAGGAAGAGAGAAGTGTGTTTTTTCTATAAGTTCTTTTTCCTAATAAAGTTTTCTTGCCTTTAACTTTATAGGTAAGTATTTCTTATATTTACTTGCAGAAATACAAGAAGTTTATG